TAAGGTGGTCAGACACTCCCATTTCTTTAAGAACTTGCCATAATTTGCTATGGTCCACATAGTCAAAGGCTTTTGCATAATCAATGAAGCACAAGTAGATGTTTTTCCAGAACTCTCTAGCTTTCTCCATAATCCAACAGATGTTAGCAATTTTGTCTCTAGTTCCTCTGCCATTTCAAAATCCAGCTTGTACTCCTGGGAGTTCTCGGTCCACATACTCCTGAAGCCTACCTTGTAGGATTTTGAGCATAACTTTGCTAGCATGTGAAATGCGTGCAATTGTGCGGTAGTTGGAGCATACTTTGACACTGCCCTTCTTTGGGATTGCGATATAGACTAATCTTTTCCAATCCTCTGGACACTGCCGAGTTGTCCAAACTTGCTGGCATATTCAGTGTAGCAACTTAAGAGTGTCATCTTTTAAGGTTTTAAATAGTTCCACTGGAATGCCATCCCCTCCACTGGCCTTGTTGTTAGCCATGCTTTCTAAGACCCACTTGACTTCCCTCTCCAGGATGTCTGGCTCAAGGTCAGCAACCACAATATCTGGGTTGTCCAGGACATCCAGATCTTTCTGGTATAATTCCTCTGTGTATTCTTGCCGCCTCTTCTTGATGTCTGCTGCTTCCGTAAGGTCCCTGTCACACACACCGAGCTCCTCTGATTGTTCTCCCTAACAAACAGATTTGCCTTTGGGCATGATAGTTTCTTGCTACCATCAGAGGAAATCCTTCCTCAATTACCAAATAGGACCACAAAAGCACTTGTGTCAAATATAATATTGTTTACTAATAGATTAACATATTTAAGAACCAAAGAAATCATAGATGGAATTATAGTTGGTATTCATTAACTTAATTTATTTCAGAAATAGACTAGTTACTTGGTATTTAATTTCAATCACTTTATAACAGTTGCATTCAGTTCTCTTATATGTTTCTTTTCAAGTGTTTCTTTCCAAAACAATTCTTCAAACTACCTAACTCTTTCCCTAACTCCTGACTAGTGGCGATCTTAACTCTAACTCTCTCTCTCATCCCTAAATGAAATCCCTACAGTAACTGATCTTTAACTGTCTTCCATTCTCTTCTTATATTCCCTTGGTTCCGCCCCTTCTGTTCAACCATTGGTTGCAAAATCAGCATTCCATTGTGATGGACTGGAGTGGTTACTGACCTGTCTGTCACAGTCCCTATCATTTTTGTCCTGTATTATGTTCATCTTTGCACAAAATGTTCCTTTAATATATCCAATTTTCTTGAACAGATCTCTAGTTTTTCCCTTTCTATTCTTTTCCTCTATATCTTTGCACTGTTCATTTAAGAAGGCCCTCTTGTCTCTCCTTGCTATTCTTTGGAAGTCTGCATTCCATTTTCTGTAACGTTCCCTATCTCCCTTGCATTTGGTTTCCCTTCTCTTCTCTGCTATTTGTAAGGCCTTATTGGACGGCCAGTTTGCTTTCTTGCATTTCCTTTTCTTT